CTATATATGCATGAAATAATGTAGTTATGGGTTCATAATAACTCCACTAAATTTAATAATTGGTTCTTTATTTTTCGTACAATAATACGCTTTCAGCTAGTGACTGTCATAACTTGTAAGTATTAAAATAATACTAATTTTGAGAGTTGACCTTTGATTATTATCATCGCAATAATGCAAAAATTAATATATTGAATTGAGGTGTTATTATGAAAATGGTGAAAGTTGTGTGAATCATCCTGATTTATCTAAAGAACTGTAACAATCTAATTTATTTAGCTAGTGTTTGTGGTGCATTTTTTCTTAAATATTGCTCACATTCAATCAAAGAAATAATACTCAAATGAAGAGGAATATTAAACTTATACGAAGTCTAGACCTATATGAACTAACAGTATTTAAGGAAAACAATATAAGTTCAATAGTCTAAAATACTTATATATTTTAACGGAAATTAGGAGTAGAATATTCATTCAGTTTCCGCTCTTTATTTGTATATGATATTTATTCATTAATTTAAACATAAATTTTGAATTGACCTATTTAACTTTTCATAAATAATTAAGCCAATAATAAATTAATTTTAAAGTAGTTATTAAGTTACAAATATTTTCTTAATCTGTTTAAATGTATTTTTATTATTTCAATTTATATTTTATTGACATTGCAAGCACCTACCTTGATAAAAACTGCACATATGTCTTTTCAGTCATAATAAAATTAATCAAATCTATCATCAAATACTAAATATTTTCATCATCCAATTATTCATCAGGTTTGACAATCTCATCTCCTTCAACATAATTTTCTCTTAGTTCATATCCAATTCTCAATAATAATGATCCATTTTCTCTCGAAAAATTACATTTAAGTAGGATTCTCTACATTCACATATACATAATTTTTGTTTAAATACACCTATGGCAACAAAATGGTGACATAACTAATTTTTTTATTTAATTACCATAGATTTGTGGGACTTTAGCTTTTAAACATGCAGTTTAAAGTGCTATCATCATTATATCAGGAGCTGAGACAATTATAACATCGCTCCATATATATTTTTACAATAATTTGATACTGGTATTAGACCCTCTCTACAATTTAAACATTACTTTGAACCATAAACAGGTTCTAAATACTCTTGAAGACAAAAGAATTAGCAATTTTATAGGCAATATGAAATTATACTAATCTAGTAAATCCAATGTAATTACATCGAATTTTTCTTTTTTCTAACTATTATTGTATCTTTATATTGCTCCTAACAAGCTATAAAATTTTAAAATTATTAAAATACCAACAGCAATCAAATTCAAATTCATAGCAACCACAATTTTTCTATATTAGTATCGCAACATTTCACAAGTTAAGAAATTATCCAAAAACCCGTTACCTAATATAAGTTGAGGGGATTTTGCAACTATTCTTTATATTATTATTGATTTTTATTTAACAAAATAATTAGGAGGACTAATACAACCAATGATGGCATTAATGAGTCCATTCTTACTTGCGAAACAATTTGATAAAGTATTGCAAATTTCACAATTTGTAGAGTATTTATTTTAAAACTAATCATGGTAATTAGCTTTGGAATTCGTTTTCAATACATTTGTGATCAAACTTTTAGCAATCCATTTCATTAATTAAAACTAGACTATAGGGTTTACAATAAATAACAGCAAATGTTAGATATTTCTACATATAACTAGCAAATACTTGAAATAAAATTAAGACTAGAAAAAATAAAGTTAGAAATAACCATTGGCATGCATTTAAGGAATTTTGAAATTGAAGTATTATTAAGATATTTTGAAATAAAAATATTTTATACTGAAGCATTGCATTAATTTATGGTAACATTATCCTAGCTAATTTATTAAATAAACTTTAATACTTCAACTTATATCTCAAAATAATATCAAAAGTCATTTCATTCTTTATGATGACTCGGAAACATAAAGATAAGGATATATTATTATTAGCAAACATTTGAATTGTCATATATACTTGCTTAATAGGAAAATGAAAGCAAATGAAATGAAAAAACAATTAATTAATATATGAATTTCTTAACATATTTACCATTTAATGAAACAATAAGAGAAGTTAAAGAGAAATAGAATTAGGAGTGCATCAGCGTTGCCTTTCACAATTACACTTATTAATCTTTATATCAATTCACTTTGTGTTGCTGCTAAAGAATTGTTAACTGATTGTGCAGCCATTACTACATCTTCAGGTTTAGATTTTTCCGATTGTAATTCTATCTGCACATCAAAAAAAGCTGGACTGCTTNTGATAAAAACTGCACATATGTCTTTTCAGTCATAATAAAATTAATCAAATCTATCATCAAATACTAAATATTTTCATCATCCAATTATTCATCAGGTTTGACAATCTCATCTCCTTCAACATAATTTTCTCTTAGTTCATATCCAATTCTCAATAATAATGATCCATTTTCTCTCGAAAAATTACATTTAAGTAGGATTCTCTACATTCACATATACATAATTTTTGTTTAAATACACCTATGGCAACAAAATGGTGACATAACTTATTTTTTTATTTAATTACCATAGATTTGTGGGACTTTAGCTTTTAAACATGCAGTTTAAAGTGCTATCATCATTATATAAGGAGCTGAGACAATTATAACATCGCTCCATATATATTTTTACAATAATTTGATACTGGTATTAGACCCTCTCTACAATTTAAACATTACTTTGAACCATAAACAGGTTCTAAATACTCTTGAAGACAAAAGAATTAGCAATTTTATAGGCAATATGAAATTATACTAATCTAGTAAATCCAATGTAATTACATCGAATTTTTCTTTTTTCTAACTATTATTGTATCTTTATATTGCTCCTAACAAGCTATAAAATTTTAAAATTATTAAAATACCAACAGCAATCAAATTCAAATTCATAGCAACCACAATTTTTCTATATTAGTATCGCAACATTTCACAAGTTAAGAAATTATCCAAAAACCCGTTACCTAATATAAGTTGAGGGGATTTTGCAACTATTCTTTATATTATTATTGATTTTTATTTAACAAAATAATTAGGAGGACTAATACAACCAATGATGGCATTAATGAGTCCATTCTTACTTGCGAAACAATTTGATAAAGTATTGCAAATTTCACAATTTGTAGAGTATTTATTTTAAAACTAATCATGGTAATTAGCTTTGGAATTCGTTTTCAATACATTTGTGATCAAACTTTTAGCAATCCATTTCATTAATTAAAACTAGACTATAGGGTTTACAATAAATAACAGCAAATGTTAGATATTTCTACATATAACTAGCAAATACTTGAAATAAAATTAAGACTAGAAAAAATAAAGTTAGAAATAACCATTGGCATGCATTTAAGGAATTTTGAAATTGAAGTATTATTAAGATATTTTGAAATAAAAATATTTTATACTGAAGCATTGCATTAATTTATGGTAACATTATCCTAGCTAATTTATTAAATAAACTTTAATACTTCAACTTATATCTCAAAATAATATCAAAAGTCATTTCATTCTTTATGATGACTCGGAAACATAAAGATAAGGATATATTATTATTAGCAAACATTTGAATTGTCATATATACTTGCTTAATAGGAAAATGAAAGCAAATGAAATGAAAAAACAATTAATTAATATATGAATTTCTTAACATATTTACCATTTAATGAAACAATAAGAGAAGTTAAAGAGAAATAGAATTAGGAGTGCATCAGCGTTGCCTTTCACAATTACACTTATTAATCTTTATATCAATTCACTTTGTGTTGCTGCTAAAGAATTGTTAACTGATTGTGCAGCCATTACTACATCTTCAGGTTTAGATTTTTCCGATTGTAATTCTATCTGCACATCAAAAAAAGCTGGACTGCTTGCAAGGACAAAGAGGTTCATGTATGAATTATCGAAATAATTTCTTAATTTGATATGACATTAATTAAAAATTCTATCATTTGTTCTTAAATGAAAGAAAGTTTATCAAATTTCTTATTTATAATTGATTTATAAATTCAATTTAAGTTAATTGGACGAATTGGAAGAAAACTGTAAATAAAAAACAATTAAAATTATTTTGATAGTAGTAACTCTTTTTACTATACCCTTTTTAGATATAAGTTTATCAGTGCTATTAGTATATTAATACTCATGCATAAATGCTATGATTTAGTCAGATTGTTAACAGATTATTGTTTATGGGATTTGCTCGAACAAACATGCATAGTATTTAACTAAGGATGATGTGAAGTCATTTCTGTCCAATTTATTGTGTCTGGAATAAATGTACAAACAAATTTGAAAGTTTGACAAAATTTTTTGATAATATTGTTACGATTGGATTTTCAAGGGTAATAATAAACCTAATTAAAGTTAGAACTTAAGAAGTAGTTTTGAGATTTTACAACTGTAATTTATTACCAGCTATTGGTTTTTAACTCCTGATGGCATATAATGGTTATAAATAAAACTAAAAACACCAAAAGTCCTNCTAATTAAAGTTAGAACTTAAGAAGTAGTTTTGAGATTTTACAACTGTAATTTATTACCAGCTATTGGTTTTTAACTCCTGATGGCATATAATGGTTATAAATAAAACTAAAAACACCAAAAGTCCTTAAGATAACTGCTACACATAGGGTTGCTATTGGGATAATTGTGCAAGTACTTAGCTAACATTTTCATTATTGCGAAAGGAATCTTGCAGAATATCTCTCTCGCAAATACTGAAATTGCTTACTTTTCGCCCTTGGTATTCAGTTTCTAAAAGTTCAAATTTTGCTTAAATCATGATGATTCTAATTATTATTGGAGATCAATCATCATGGTAATGGTATTAATAAATTGAATCTAAGATTTAAGAAACACACTAATAAATCATGTAAGTATTTGATTCTGAAATTTCAAATGCCATTTAATATTTAAAATTTTTTGCATATTTTCAATACATTTTAACATGTTCAATATTTGTCAAGTGTTTGGTCTAAAATCTATGTTAAAAGATGAACATTTACAAAACCAGATAATTTAATAGGAATATGAACACCACTCACAGGAATACCCATTAACTAAGATAAATACTCATTAATTCATTCAAGGTATGTGTATTATCACTATGATTTTAGCTTCATAAATACAATATCTAATAATTTGCAGCTAAGTTTACAGTGATATTAAATATATAGCAATAATTAACTGCAATTATCCTTGATAAATGTTACACAATAACTAGAAATTATCTTTGCAAATATTTTCTTGGTATTACAATTTAATTTACGCCTTTCCTTAATATTAATCTATAGTCATTATCAAATTAATAAAGATGTTATAATTTAAAAATTTACTTAATGTTTGATAATTTATTTTTTATCTCTCCATATTCAATATCAAATTAACGTCTGAATTAAATTAACATTTTAAATCAATTTTAATATATCAACCAACAGACACACACTAATAAAAGTTCCCTTAAAAAAAATCTTTATTTAATCTGTTATATTAATCATTTATAAGGATATAAAGTGTAATTTTACGGGGCTTTTGAAAAATGATATTTATTCTTGAATATTCTTCCTCAGTATATCTGATTGACTTTAGGAAGTTGAAGAAGAAGATTAATTATATAATGATTTTATTTTAATTTTCTTTAGTTTATTTATCAAATGTAAGTATATATTTTCCAAATTAAAAAAAAATTAATAATCTCATTTAATAAATAAAATATAATAAATAGT